ATAGTTAGAATAAATTAAATAATGAAGAAATTGATAAGATTAATTAAATGATAATAAAAAAAGAAATAACAACAAAATAAAATACATTGGAAGAAGTATTCATTAACAAATTTAATGTAATGAATTTCTATGATAAAACAACAAACAACAACATTTTGAAGAAATAATAATAAAAACATAAAAGAAAACAACTAAAACAAGAAGAAATAAGAAAAGAAATCATTGATTCAAACATAAATTAAAATATATTTAATTTATAAATCCAAAAAATAAACTTTCATTTAATACTATAAAAATAGTATTCAATTTTGTATCATTTCAACAACACTAATTCTGTTGATTATCATAAATTATTTCAAAATGAATTAAATTGTTTTATTCATCTGTTGTTTCATCTGTACTTCTATAATGTAGTTTTTTAAAACAATCTCTTGGTATTCTTTCATTTTTCTTTAGCTCTTCTGTACATCCACATCTATAAAAACAAGAACTGCCAAATGTTGTAATTGTTGTTGGGATATTAATTGATTTTAATGAACACCATTTGAAACATTTCCGTCCTAATTCACTAACTGTTGTTGGTATATTAATTGATGACAATGAATAACATTCTTTAAAACAACTATTCCCTAACATAGTAATTGAGGATGGAATAATAAATTCATTAATATTTTTCTTTTCAATATTCTTTCCATTGATTATTTGTAGATTATATGGTATTTCAATACTAATTAATACAGGTTCATTCATAAATATTTTATTCTCACTAATAAAATGGACTTTGTCAATACTCATATTAGTTAATGATGAACATCCATAAAAACAATCTTTTCCTATTTCAATAACAGCCAATGGTATATTAATTGATGTTAATGATGAACATCCATAAAAACATCTAATACCTAACTCAGTTACTAGTGGTGGAATATTAATTGATTTTAGTGAATAACACAAGTTAAAACATTCATCTCCTATGAAACTGACTAATGGTGGAATAGTGATTGATGTTAATGATGAACATCCTTCAAAACAAAAATCCCAGAGTTTATTAACTCTTGTTGGTATATTAATTGTTGTTAATTCTTCACAATTATAAAAACATTGATGTCCAATTATGCTAACTTCTGATGGTATTGTATTTCCATATTTTTCTCTATCATCTTCTGTGTATATTATATTTTTACAGATATTTCCTGCTTCTTTTTCTTTTAAATATGTTGGATATTCTACTAAAAACCATATTACATATTTAAATATTTTTCCATCATCAAATATTTCATCATCATATTCATCATAAATATGAAATGTTTCAATATTAGGAAAGAATCTTCTTGAATACTCGTCTAATGGAATTGGATTAAAATGAAATCGTTCCATATTTCCTTGAAATCTTTTAACACCTATCTCTAAATTAATAAAATCTTTAATATCATCAAAATACATTGATGTTATCATTGTTGCATAATGTCCTAATTTCATTATTGATTTATTGTTTATTTTATTGAGTTGTTAGTTCTTCTTTTTATTTTAATTTAAACTTAAAATAATTTTAAGATTATCATTCTATTTTCTTCGATTTTATTGAAATTCAATGAAATATCATTTATAAATGATAATATTTAATTATAGTAAATATTATAGTATTAATATAATTATATTTAATTAGAAATAATAATATCATTTTTATAGTATTTAATAGTATTATTATAGTTTAATATTATAAATAAAAAATAGTAATTTTTATTAAATAAATAATAAAATAAGATATTATAATAAAATAATTTAAATAATCATAACAAATTATAATTAAATTAATTATGAAATAGTTAATATTATAGTAATAATATTAAAATATTATTATTTTATAATAATTTATTTTTATTTCTATTAATAGTTTTAATTTATTTAACTCTTCATAATTAATAATAATATTAGAATGTTGTATATCATTAATGTTATTCTCAATTTTCATTGTTTTCATTCATTAATATTATCTCCAATGATTGTTAATGCATCACTTTCTGTTTGATTGATTATTAATTGTTTTAGATTTCATTTGGTTTATATTTCCTCTCTTATTTTAAATGGTCTTTTAAAATTGTTCTATCAAAGAAGTTATTGTAAAATTTACATAATTAAGGTAATTAAAATGTTATTGAATAATTTATCTATTTATGAATTATATTAGATACTATTTGTTTATTTTCAATTAGAATTAATCATTCCTCATTCTTGTTATGTTGATTATTAATGTTATTATTATTGATATTATTATCATTTTAATTATTGAAATGAAGAATAAAATATCATAATTTATATCATCGTTTATTAGATTTAATGAATTCATTTATTCTTTTTATCATATTTTAATAATAAATTAATTATTTCATCTCATTTGATTTATAAATAAAGTAATTATCATTCATATTTATTTGTGTTTTGTTTATGAATAATTATTGAATGATATCAAAAAGAATATATTATGATATTCAAAATAATAATAATAATAAATTAATTTAATGTTTAAATTATTTAGAAGTATATATTATTTGAATTGTCGTAATAAATAAAAATGAAATAATTGAAATAATCATATAAATGATTT